GTGTGGACCGATGGATGTTCGTACGAAAACGGATCGCCTAACGTTAGAGCAGGTATCGGAGTATTCTGGGGTAAAGGGGATAAACGAAACCTATCCGAAAGATTACCAGGCGAACAGACTAATAATCGGGCCGAGATTTATGCAGTGATTAGAGCGATCGAGACCTGTGAAAATAAAGATAAGCATTTAGAGATCATGGCTGACAGTAAATATGTTAAAAATGCGATGGAATGCTGGATTAAAAATTGGGAAAAAAATGGTTATACTACGTGTAATAAAACCCAAGTAAAAAATATTGACTTTTTTAAAAGATTAAAAAAAATAGTCGATGATCGAGTCGGTACCGTAATATTTACTCATGTGAGAGGACATAGTGGAAACTATGGTAACGAGCAGGCTGATTGGTTATCAAAGGAGGGAGCGATAAAAGAAGCGATCGTCAACGTAGAGCTAGATAGTGTAATTGATACAGAGTTATAGTTCTTTTTATCAATTATAGTAATTATAATTTTATTTAATAAAAAATATATAATTTCTAAATAGTAAAAAGCGTGCTCTTATGAGTAGCTTATTAAGGCGCGTGCCCGGCGCGTGCTTTAATAAGCATTCACACTGCAGAGAGATGGAAGGATGGAGAAAACGATAAGGGACAGTGTTTCTATGGGAGTTTGTTACGACGATTTACGACGAGGCTGGGACCGAGCCGTGTCATCGACGCCATCTTCGATAGCGTCAACGACACGGGAATCGTATATCAACGTACAAACAGACATAGAAACAAATATAGGTACATGAAATAAAAACAGAATAGTATGTGTTGGTAATTTCCAATCAAAATTATCCTCATACTAATTAACTTTTATAATAAATAAATTTGATTCAATCAACTAGAGCTACAGTTAAGTTGCAGAGAGCAAAATTGTAATTGTATATTTATAATTAGAGAATAAAAATTGTAATTATATATTTATAAAATAAATATAATAAAAGTTAAAAAAATATCCCAATATTGGATTTTAATAATACAGCATAAAAGTAACATAGTTTTTAGTTAATTCCAACTAATGATGTCTAATAAAACTACATTTGTAATAACAGATTTTATTACTTTTTAATATTTGATTATATTTTTTATAATTAAAAAAACTTCTTAATGATTAACAATATTTTTAATAGATCAATTTGAGTAATAAAATATTAAAATACAATTGGCTTTTTTTAGCTATCTTTTTTATAAAGATTTTTGAATATACTAATTTTGAAATACTTATTATAAGGTAGTATCATAAAAATTATTTTAGTTCTGTATTTTATAGAATCTAATATTAGTTATATTATATTATTAATTTTCTTTATTATATCTATCAGAACTTCTAGTTGTTAAGGCTTTATTTAGGTAATATTTGATATATACAGATTTTAAGAAATAAAAATACAGTTAGACCTTTTTAAATTTACTCTTAATAAGTATACTCTCTCTAAATACAATCTCAAATTCTGGCCTGAATATATATCTGACCTTTCTAAATGTCCCTATTCTTATTATTTTCTAAGTACATATTGTTAATATATTATCCAAGATATGTATACAAAAAGGTATAACTATATTTTAAAAAAACATATTGTCAAAGTATAGTCTTAAGATTATATACTTAGAAAAGTCTGACTGTAGTTAACAATATAACTAAAAGTCTAAAGTTTATTTTTTCTTAACAACATTCGACTAACAAATTAATGAATAATAAAAATTGTAAAGATTGATAAAATAAAAAGTTATTATTGATTTTCTTTTATAATCTAATTAATTTGTATGAAGGTAGTTTTTGTTTGTATTATCTCACTTATCTAATTTTTTCTTTTTATAGTTAAACCACTCTAAGT